GCAACTGGCATACGGTTTAATGTGAAGTCAACAACAACAACAACACCTAGTCTAGTGGCCAACTTTGGCACGTGTTCAGACCAGCTACCACGCATCTCCTCCTCTACAGCTCGCGGCTTTCACTATCTGCATATCACAGAGGGTGTTCGCGTGTGGTTTGCAGCCCACGACAGGGCGTAGTGAGGAGGGGCTCGCGATCGGCGACAACTCGCGTGCTAGTTCAAATATTCTGCTGCTGCTGTGTTCTGAGTGGTGGGGCATTTTTTTCTACTTCTTCATTTATTAACGCATACGGAGTGCTGACAACAACGATTCGCATCAACAACATCGCATCAACAACATTTCGGGTGTGTGTACCAAAACAAAAGCAACACATATTCACGGGGGGCGCACGACCCAGCCTACTGCAGGTACTTTCCGCAGCACGGGTTATGCTGTTGTGATGGTGCGCGCGGAAAAAACTCCCCCCACTTGGGGTCTAGTATGTGGAACGCATCCATCCGCCTATCTTTACAGATGATTTTGTTCTTAGCTCCAACTGGCATTACTGATGACTCAGTGTTAGGCTTACACCAACTCAAAAGAAGCCAAGTCTCCAGTTGGTTTCAATCCACTCACTGAAAATACTTCACCAAATCCCTTTCGACGACGGGTAGACTAGTCTTTCTGTGAGGTAAGACTAGACTATGTTTACTTTCTAAAAATCATCATCAGCAGCAGGAGGACAAGCCGTGGCAGGAGCCGCTTGCGTAGAAGAAGTGTGCTCGCTAGCGTTAAAATGACGAGGTAATCTGTGGCGCTTGTACTGCTGCGGTCGAAGCAGTTGTGGAAGAATCGGGGGTACTTGAGGCGGCATTCTGCTCTCCCTGCACGTTCGTGTTGTTGGAGGCCTCCTCCATGCGGGGTGTGTGCCGCACGCCGATCATGTGTGTGCGGGGTCCCTTGAACGTATGCGGCGCAACCTCAGGGGGTGTGTTATCTTATGTAGCCCGCGGGTGATAAATCGATGATTTGGCAGAAATTCCCAAATCATCACCGGGGTTGTATTCTGTGGGGGGTGTCGTTTCTTATGTGGGTGTGGTATCTTGTATCGTCTCCGGTATTTGTCGCCTTCGGGAGCGGGGGCGAAATCCTTGAACGTGTTTGTTTGGGGAGCGGCACCACCTACCAACGTGAGTTGCGAGAAGTTCCCTTTGTAGTCTAGACTATGTGTTGTGTCCAACCCGCTTTTAGCAAAACAACACCTGGAAGAAAATGGAGATCGCGGCGAAATAAAAATCACTGGCGCTGAGGTTGTGCCGGGGGGGGACGTGCTTGGAGATGGGGCTACAGCAAGTTAGTCCCCTGAACCACGCGGCGGGTCGGCGAACACGCTGCCGATTTCGTTCGGGACCAATATCCGCCGCGACGAGCCGCGACTGAGGGTCCCTCTCGTCAGGAGAAAGAAAGACGAGCTACGTGCCGCTCCTCCAGCTGGCAAACCACTCAAAGCCATGTGTTAACCTCGATCCTTGTCTCCGCGTTGCTCTCGGTAGTCGTCGTAGGACTCTGTGTGAACATCTATGTAAATTCGAGAGAGTACTCGAGGTACGGCTTCACCCGGTCTCTCGTTCAGGGGCCCCGTTTTTTCGTGGGACTTTTCCTCGTACCCTAACGACGACATAATATTACAATTCGATTGCTCTACAAAAAGCCTTGATGTGTTTTCGCTTGGTCCTTTGGCAAATCTACCCAAATATCGTTGCCGATTTGATTGAGGGCCAATAACCGAGCCGGGTCTGGGCGTCGATGACATGGCCGACGCCGGCGGCATATCCAATGCAAGCCTAGCTACGGTCGAAATCACATCACACAATGGGTGCCACGGGCGCCAGCTGCGGCGTCGCTGGCTGCCCTATGTCTCGGGGCCTGCTGCCGTAAGGCCGTCACGAGCAGATTTCGCGACGGGATGGACGAGACGTGGTAGAGGTGGATAAATTCGTGAGAAACCTCACGCTCACTCGTCCTCTCGCCTGTCGCCTTGTTGCTGTCGTTGTTGATCCCATATGAAAGCATACTAAGTATGAAAGCACTTCCACAACGATGTACACTACAAGCTGGTTCAGGGAAATGGATACAAGAAGATTCAACAGCAAAACTTCACGCCGTTTTTAGGAGTTAGACTCTGAAACTTTGCACACATGTACCTTGGGTCATTACAAAACGCTGTGTGGAGGGGCCTTTTTTTTTTCCCCGTCGCCGGATATCCGGGGTCCTAGAGATTTCGGGGTCGTGTGCGGCTCCTGGGACCCCGAATAACTGGCGACCATGGAAGGAAATGAAATAGGCCCCGCCACACAGCGTTTCGTATTGACCCAAGGTACATGTGTGCAAAGTTTCAGAGTCTAACTCATGAAAACGGCGTGAAGTTTTCAGCTCTTAGGCCATGAAGTATTTCGCATCCTGGATTTCCCCAAACTACTTGATTAAAGTATGAAACGGCGAAATTCAGGTTCTTTTGGCGCCCAAACGACCCCATTTCATCAGTTTATCGAATTAGTTCATGAAAATTCATACACACGGTCTTTGGTATATGTAGGTAAGGTAGAATCAAGAAAAAAAAATCACATATTGGGACAGATTTTTGGGGTCCCGCAAAAGGGGCTATCTCCAACGCAGTTTGGCCCACCGACGGCAAGTCATAAATCGACCATTTTTCGACCGTATTAGGCCAGTTTATGGAAGATGTCGACGAAACTCCATGCGAAGCTTCATTGCACTGTAACGGTGTCGTTGGTTAGAGAAAGAATCACAAACAGCCATGTTACCGGCATGTTGGGGTCTGCAAGAGAATCTACCTACTTTTTAGACGGAAACACCGACCGTGCTGTCCCGAAGAGAGATTTTTTATCATCGCAGCGCGGCCTTGTGCCAGCTTAACTGGGTGATAAAACACTGTTGATTCATGCACCGAGAACGCAAACATGCCAACATGCATGGACCGGTTTGCTGAGGGTCACACCGCACCGAACGAATAACATGTCGAGACGGGATAACCCGATCGACAGGCATGAAAAACGCACCCAGTCCATCACTTCATAAAAAAATACAACCGTACTCTGTGCAACCAATGCACTGGGCTATAGGAACTGTTCCAAAATAATCAAAGACATATCAACCGGTTATCCGGGGTTGCGTGCACGTCGCATGGAGAAGAAAGGTCCGGCGAGTGCTTGTAGTCGTTCATACTCCGCCTTGCACTCGAGGGCTGCTGCCTTGTCCTTCTCGACTTGTTGACGGGCAGCTGCGGCTTCGACGGCGAGCCTTGAAGCCTCGTCCAACGCCGCGGCCGCTGCGTGTGCGGCGAGAACCTCCGGAGGGTCGGCCACGCTGATGTCGCTCGTGGGTGCATCAATCACCGGGGGTGGCTGCTCGTGAGGCTCCAGCAGCGTGACGTGTTGCCCCTTCGTTAGCGTGGAGAACATAGCCACGGCCTGTGCGTCCATTGCAGCAGCCTCCTGGTCGCACTCTGCAACCCGCCGCTCCATGTATCTCCTCCGCTGTTCTGATTTGCGATCGCGCCTGACGTACGCAAACGCCCGGCGCCCGAGTCCGGCGTTACGCAACCTGCTGCAGCGTAGGCGCATCAGGATTCTGGCCTCCTGCTGCAACCCCCTCAAAGCTCTGGCGCGTTCCGCTTGTTTTTGGATGGCACACTTCTTGGCGACTTCGCAGTTCGGCGTCGTGCCTGAACACCGGTGGGGGGTAATTTTAACGGAGGACAGACCGGAACATACGGCGATAGTATGGCTGTTAATTAAACTGTGCGATGAAGCTTGGGTACAAGGACTGTGTCTTGGTAGAAAAAACCAAAGAGCGCCTGCTAGAGGACCGTTACTCAAATTGAAGAATAACCCGTGAATGTCAATCCTTGTACTCTGCAAAACACACAGCCTCGCGTCGTGCAATACGACAGCCCCTCTAAGCCAATGTTGGTGTCTGTGTTTATCAGTGGGTGCGGTATGCCCTTGTGTCGGTTGCTGCTGGACGCGACTTGTAAGAGTTGGGCACCTTGTTTTTGAGACGGGTTGCATGTATACAAGTTCGGGCCTGACTTGTACACAATGTTTTCTTGTACAATTGCGTGCTGCTGCTGTATGCCCTGGTGCGTTCTATAAAATAGAGACAGTTTGTAAACACAAGTTCGGATCTGGCGTGTATAACCAGTTTGTACTTCTTGTATGTACACTTGCGTGCTGCTGAGCACTGCTGTGTTCTATTAGAAGCACAAATCAGAGATGGGTTGTACAATACACTATACTATTTTGTATCAATACGAGTAGTACTGCACTGCTGCATGCTGCACAACTCGTCTACTGTTCAAGATTGTCCGATGCAAACAACGGGATTCATGTCGAGGTTCTCCAGTGCATACATACATATGGATGCTGTTGTACTGCAACTTGCCGTTTTTTCACACAGCTACACTTGTCATGGAAAACACGCACCAACCATACGCATGAACGCCGGCTAGTGTTGTTGCACATGTCACCACCGTGCTAGCAACGCGCCCGCCTGGTTGCTACTTTGCTGCATGTTTCAACCCACCACGGAGTACACACCCTGCCGCTTTGCTGCTACTGCGGTTGTACAGCAGTACCGCTGTACAGCAACTGCCGCAGCAGTAGCTACGTGCAGCAAGTTCCGCTCAGCAATCGTAGACTCACCGTGCTTGGGCGACAAGCTCCGCCTTCGCATGGGCTTCTCCAGCTCACTTGTCCAGTTGTCCGCGTCTCCGAGCGCTTCCGCCTTCGTCTCATACGTGAAGGCGGTGTTCTTGCGAATGTCCGTGGCATGTGGCCGTGGGTGATACGTGCATCTGAGCCTCCAACGCTTCGTGTTGCTGCACTGCACTGCGCAAACTTGCGATACTTTTCGTTTGTGGGTATCAACGTTGGGATCCACACTTTGTAGTGGCTCCATTGTGGAGGGTCTCCTTGCGTACGAGACGCGTGTGCAGAGGTACTCAGCTGGTTGTACAGCAGCACCGGTGCAGCAGGAGCTGCGACAACGGACAACGGCTGAGATTTTCAAAAAAAAATGCGGCGTAATTATGTTTTTTGTCCCCGTTTTGGGAAAAGCCTGCATATCATCGAAATATTTGGAGGCTCCTCATTGGCTGAGGCACGTAATAGCCCATATCTTCCCAGCGAAGCCTTAAATCGAAATTCCGGCCACGATGATTTGTTCCTTTGCTCGTGGGGGTCACTATGATACTGCTTTTGTCAACATTATGTACAAAATTCGTCTGGCAGGAGCGGTTGAATAAATTTTGGTCCATTTCCCTGAACCAGCTTGTATGATGAAGCAGACTTTGGCTAACCCGCCATGACAAAATGACCTGAAAAACGAATCGATTGGATGAAACCAGGCCTACATCCAGTTGGCTGTAGCGATTGCGGCGACAACTTGGAGATCTGCTGGGTTCCAGCCCCGTCCCTCTTGCCCAAATCGCCAACGCAAGCGTCCCGATGTTACAAATGATATCACCGTACGAGGCGAAACTGCGTAGACGACTTTGGAATAATCGTCGCGTCCACGTAAGGATGAGTAACCGAAGAGGAGCAATATCCAAAACGTTGTCGCGCAGACCCACCCCTAACCGAAACACCCCGTACAGACGTACATCAACCACACCATAGACACACCTCCAGCGCAAATGCGCGTTCATGCTCCGATCTGTAGACTATGAGGTACGGCTCACCACCACCTTTAATGTGCGGGTTGGGTGGCGGAGTCAGGTGGAGTCACCGATGCTTCACGAGCGTGCTACAATAACAATGAGTTACGATAGGCTGACCTGTCTGTCTCTCGGATTGGTGTATTGCGGGGCTCCACGACGAAGACGAACGAAGACGAATGACGAGAAGAGAGTGCAACCGTCGACAAAACGTTCGAGAAAAGAAATGCCATCGACAAGAGGGGCTCAATGCGTGACGACCGCGCGATCCGAGACAAAAAGACAAGTGTGGTCGAGTCTTCGTTTTCACCGCCCATGGTTCCGCCTTGTGGCAGAGAGAGGGGATGTGAGTGACCATTGCCGATACTGGACCAACCACGGAAGTACGAGGCTCGCAATTCGACGAATCATCAGACGACAGAAAATGGGTTGTGCCCTCAGCACGTCATCATCCTTCAAAAAACATCAGATAGATCGGGACGTGAAGATCGACTCCTGTGGAATACTTCTATAAATCTTCTACTTTGCAGTCCAACAAGACGTCTACACTGTCAGCAGCGGAGGACCAAGGGGGGCACAGCATCACACGTCTCATCACACCACATCACACGTTTCTGGTGCGCTCTCTACCTCAAGACCAAACCGACCGAATGCCGCCCGAACGACTACAACACCTACACATCTTCAGGACGGGAATGAGCCAGCCCCAGGGTTGACCCCCCACCCCCGCGCGCGCACTTTTCCCCTCAAATCAAACCAATCAAAAATTCCTCGTTGTTAACCTCATTCTAGCTGCATGCATGCATACGTAGCAAGAGTAACGAGCGCTCGTGGCAGCCGCGGGAGGGATTGGATCCGAAATAGTTACACCGCCGCCTCAAGCAGTTACAGCACTTCAGAAAGCAACCGTTTCACGGCAAAAAAAAAGCAACTGCCGTGTTCAAAACTGAACATCAAGGACCTCGGGCCTCCGTGGGAGGAACCCAAAAACTTAGATTACTTCTAAAGCAAACAAGTAACACCCGTCTATTTCGGCTCCGTCTATCCTCACGTCTTCCTTCCGTAAAAGACAGACTTGTATCCGTTCTATACTCGGAACTACAAAAAAATAATTCGTCCCAACACCACCCAAAAAATCGCCGGTTATGACCCAGCACGTACTGGAAGAATCGCCGCAAGCACTCCACCCGCGTGCTCGCTCGTTCTCTCTACACCACGACCTGGCCACCCAAAAACTCTCGACAGACACCAAACCAAACACACGCACGGCAGCCAGGACCGCCCGCCAACCGCAGCGCACCTTACGTCCAAAACAACAAAATTGAAAAACGCGGAGCTCTTGCCACATGTTGTCCGCTCATTGGGAAACCGCCGAATGATACCCCTATATGGAACAGCCGCATCCGGCCGTCTCTAGAGTCAACAACCTATGACAACCGACCCTAACTACAGTTAGCGAGCCGTTTCGCCGTTAGCTGCGGATACGCCCAATGGGTAGGACGACAGTCGATCGGCAGGCAGAAATAAGGAGCAAAAAGTGGGATTCTTCTCCGCTCAGAACAACACACAACAGCCCAAGCCAACCTAACAACGAACCTCCCGAGAAACCTGCCGGGGTCTATTCACGTACAGTCCAATTTAGAAAAGTCAACCCTTGCAGTGATTCTCTATATCCATGTCTACGTATGCACACATCATCTATCTACACATGTCGCCCAGACAGGCTCACCACCAGTGACAGAGTAACAGTGACAGTGACAGCAGTGACACACGACAGCAGTACCCCACCGACATCTCAAGAGACGAACAACACCCAAGACGCCGACGGGCAGCCAACAACCAACCCTACAGGTGGCACACAAACACTCCCCCAGCATCAATACGCGGAATATGCAGCGGTTGCAAGGTGTTTGCAGACACAAGGGTCCCGTTGTGGACTGCTACCCACACGCTGATCCAGTCTATATCCCTCCCTCCGCAGATGCCTCCGTGATTCCTGTTACCCACCCGATACGTACAAGTCCGAGAGTAACAAAGCTTCATCAATCCAGGCAAACATATATGAATTCCAACTTTCGGTTCGAGCGACCCTCGAAAACATCGCTTAACATATACTTGTGGAGTAGTGATCAAACACGGTGAACCTGGTGCATGAAGTGCATATCCTCAACCTCAGAAGTGATGCAAAGTCGGTAATTTCTGCTGGTAGTACCATCCGTGTTGCGGATAACGCTAGCACACTGAACAGCCACACCAACAGAGGGAGGCCCTCCGAACATACGTTTCATACTAGTATCAATTTGAAAAGTACAACAGACAGTGTAGGATGCCATAACGGCCAATACATAAGCAACTTATCCTGCTTCGAAAAACAGCTGCCACCGATACTCTGCTCTGCTACCGAGAACGTCAACTTTAGTCAGCAGGTCAAGTCGGATCGGATCCAGGCTGTGGCAGACTTGTTACAAGACCCCCAAAGGACACACCGGAAACACCAGTACAAACACCCGCAGCACTAGCCCCAATATCACTGCTGCCCACCACTAGTCATCCTCTCCAGATTTCCAGGCCGCTACCATCGTTGCAGCCCCTGAAATTGCTTTCCCTGGCGGTGCCTCAACCCCCCCCCCCCCCCCCC